TTTCCCTCAACTGTCTAGGCTTAAGCTATTGAAGTTAAGTTTTGATAGTAATAATCTTTAATAATTTCATATACACATTTACAAGGAGGGCTTCAAAAAGTTTGTAGAAAAGTGGAATTAAAAGCTAATGGAATTTTTCAATGAACTTTTTATAGCCCTCTTGTATATGTGCGCATGAGTATTATATATATATTTTTTTCTCCTTTAAAATTTCTTCCCAATAGTCCATGCAGAGTCTAGGAATTCATTTCTCCACATATGGAGTACAAAGGGGCCACAGTCTTTAATAAGCATAATCATGTGGTTGGATGTTACCTCTGTATGCTCTAATTTCTGTACAAATGTAAAGTTTTCCCCATCTTTCTCTGGACTTTGCCAGTGATAGAATATCATCACAGTAATTTCTGACAGTTGTTTTAATGTCTTTTATTACTGGTGTTGAATCTCAAATATAGGGACTTCATGTCATAATTTTAACTCATAAAAAGTATCCATTGTAGAAAAAATTTAAATAATAAAAGAAATACAAAAGCATCTATAATCCTACTATATGTACAAATAAAGTCATTGACATTTATAAATGAAATATAAATATAATTTTGTGGTCTACTTTTAACACAGACATGCTTTATATGTAATTTCAAAACAGTTACTTTGTGCATGTAACATTTCCCATTTTCTGATGTGATTGATATAAATTCCTAGGAGTTAGGATTACTGGGTTGAGTTATACAGTTTTTTGATATTTCATACGTACTACAGAATAGGTTGTAATTCCAAGGTGGCCTATGTTTTTCTAAAACTATATATCCTATATAAAAGGGTAAGGAAAAAAAATATTGCTACAAAATCATAGAAAACTTTAAGCAAAAATTATCCACATGTGAAGCTATTGTTTCTTGACAGATCCTCTGTCTCTCTATATATATAACGCGGTGTTGCTATCTCTCAAACCCCTCCCCCAAAGAATTCTGCAATTGATTTACACCATGTAAAAATGGCAGCTTTGGCATCCTTGAGTGAATCAAATAGTGTTCCTTTAAAATGTTCTCTGAGTTTGAGAAACAAATAGAAGTCTGAAGGTGCAAGATCAGGGCTGTAGAGTGGATGGGGGGAAAGTTTTGCAATAAAATTTTCATAGGACAGCCCTGGCTACCCAAGATGAATGAGCAGGTGCATTATCATGACGGATACAAATTCCTGGGTGCAACTTTCCTGACCTTTTTCTCACTTCTTCCTAATAAGTCTTTGTGATTGTTCTGTGTTCTTTGAGAAAATCCATCAAGATTACCCCTTGGGAATGCAAAAAAAACAGTTGCCCTAACTTTCTGAGCTGTCCTCCCTGTCTTAAATTAAACTGACCCAGCAGATTCCCCTCAGAAGCCACTGTTTGGACTGGACCGTTCTTTTTATTTTGAAAGCACCCAAAGGAGACTAAAACAAGAGTATTACTCAGAGAACTTGTCTGCAGCCATCCACTGATTGCACAGACATGTTTAAATATGTTTTGTTTGGAATAAACTCATGCCTGTATGAAGTGGAACTCTAGTAGCAATGCTTGACTTACCCTCCTATCTATCAATCAAATTAAATGCCAAATAAAATAGTGCTTTGGTAAACTGGAAAACACTATGAAGAAACAAAACTGGGAATCAAAAAAGACTAGGTTTCAGTCTAGTTTATTTATCTTTAGCTAGTCAATTAGATTAGCTGCTTCTTAATTTCCTCACCTATAAAATGACATTTAAATTAGAATGCTCTTTGAATACGCTTCCAGATTTAAGATTCTAATTTAATCATTCATGGGCTCAAGAAGTTTCATTTTCTTCCTGGTTCTCAAGACTCTCTATTAATATACGAATGTATAATTCCTCTATGAAAACAATTAAAAAAAAATCTCAGTATGAACTTTTGATTTAATAAAGTATGTTTATTTGTAATTATCAAAAAACTCTGCCCCAATTCCTACTCTAGTGGCATTAGAATTTTACTAAAAGATGGGTTGTAATATATATTAAGTATCTATACTTTATGGATGTTGCTGCTAGGGCTTTATATACATTAATACATTCTCTTGGGGGGAAGCACTGTAGTAGTTGTCATAAAAAATATACAATATGAAGCAATGCAAGAAGCAACTGAATAGTACAGATTTTGTATGACAGAAATTCAGAGGGTTTTACAGAAGAGACATTGCAGTTGAGGGAACTATGGTAGATTTTACAAGAAAGGTAGATCTAAGTTGGGTCTTTAAAAACTGATAGGATTTAGCTAGGAAGGAGGATATTTTAAGGAGCAGGATTAACATGAACAAAGGCCAAAATGACCAAACAGTGCATAGATGACTCTAGCTAGAATACACAAAGAGTTGGAGATTTGGCTGAAAAATACACAATGGGTCTCAAATTCATAACTAAAACACTGAATTTGATCCTGTGTCTGGCGAATAGGGTGATAAAGAAGTGTTGATAAAAGTTACCTTATGTGCTTACTGAATTGAGATGAGAAACATCTACAAAATAAAAACCTGTTATGATATAATTTAAATTAAAAAATAGAATGAAAAAGAGGTAATTTAAATAAAACAATATTGGAGACTTTATAAAAAATGATATAACTTGATAATTGGACACCTCAGCTGGACATGAAGTTTAGAGGATAGTAGTAATCTTTAAAAGTTTATATTTATACTCAAGAGTGAATGCATTTACCAAACACCACATGCCAGGAACTGTGCTCTGTTCTATTTCCTCTATCTGGTAATTTTATCCATATCCCTTACTGTACATAAATTCAACTCATATTTAAATCTAAATAAAACTCCTCCTAATTTACTATGTGAAACACAGAAACCCTATACAAGATCACTGTGAGTCGGAACTGACTCAATGGCACACAACAACAGGATTCAGTAGAGCGTCCACAGTAAGACAGACTAGGAAGGAGCTGGCAACTTACTTCTTAAAATACTGGGCAGTGAAAATCTTATAGATAGTAGTAGAACATTGTCTAATATAGTGCTTGAATATGAGCCACTAAGGTTGTAAAGTACTCAAAATACAACTCAAAATAAGAAGAAGTAGCTGCACACATCCACTAAGTATCTAAACTTAGAATGGGTGAAATATGAAACTAAGAAAATTATAATTTATAAAATTATAAAACAAAATAGAGCACATAAAGATTGGTATTATAGACAATGCTGTTGTTGTTAAGTGCCGTTGAGTTGGTTCCATACCACAGCGACCCTGTATAGGGTTTCTAAGGAGTGGTTGGTAAGCTTGAACTGCCAACCTTTGAAGTCTAGTGCATGAACCCACAGCACTACACTAGGACTCTACTATTATAGACAATAGTGAACTGGACTGATATTGGCCACTTTGAATCGAACAATCATATGGTCTACTATGCTTGGAATGATAACGAGGAATGGTGTTTCATTCATCATTAAAAAGGCATCTCAAGATTAATTCTGAACTGCAATGCTATCAATGATAGATTAATATCCATACGCGTGCAAGGAAAACCAATACAAGTATTATTCAAATTAACATACCAACAACTAATACTAAAGATGAGGAAAATGCAGATATCTGCCTACTTCTATAGTTTGAATTTGATCATGTAGTCAAGATGCATTGATAATTACTGATGATTGAAATGTGAATGTTTGAAATAATGTAGGCTGTGGAATGAAGGATATCATTATTGATGTCAGATGGATCTTGGTTGAAAGCAGAGAATAATAGAGAATAACTGTGTTTCATTGACTATGTAAAGATTGTGTGGATCACAACAAAATATGGATAACATTGTGAACACTGGGAATTCCAAAGCACAATTGTGCTCATGCAGAACCTGTACATAGACCAAGAGGAAGTTGTTTGAACAGAACAAGGGAAAATTGAGTAGTTTAAAATCAGGATAGGTGTGTATCATCAGCAACCTGTGATATGCAAATGATACATTCTTGCTTACTTGAAGTAAAGAGGACCTGAAGTGTTGTTGACAAATATAAAAGACTTCAGTAGTACACCTCAACAACAAGAAAACAAAAAATCCTCATAACTGGACCAAAAAGCAACATCTTGATAAACATAGAATACATTCACATTATCAAGGATTTCACTTAACTTGAATCCACAATCAACGCCCATGGAAGCAAATCAAACAATGAATGTACTGCATTGGGAAGATTTGCTGCTTCTTAGCAGCCAAGGATGGGGAGACTTTGTTTCATCTACTTTTGAATGGTATTAGGAAGGATTATTTTCTGGAGAAGGACTTCATGCTTAGTAAAGTAGAGGTTCATAAAAAAAGAGCAAGACTCTTTATGAGATGGACTGCAACAATGGGCTACTACATAGCAATGGTTGTGAGGATGGTGCAGGACCCGGCATGGTTTTGTTCTGTTGTACACAGGTATGAGTTGGAACCAACTCACTGTAACCTAGTAACAATTCACTAAATCCTTTCTGTCTCTTCATTTTACTACTTTACCATGTAGGTTGGAACACCAGACTCTGATGAGATTGGGAACAAAAATGCTTCTGTGGGGACTAAGTTTAATTTAGTACCTACTATGTTCCTATCTGGTCACACACAAAAACCACTGGCATATTAACGGTCTGAGAAATCCATAGAGTAAAAAACCTTGTTTAACTTTTTCAGTTCAGTGCTTCCCAAACGTGTTTGCTCAACAAGGGCAAAGACTGCATCATAAACTTGGTCTCAAATATCTATTAAACACATAAATCCATAAAAATTCAGTAGACATAGGCATTTCAATATAATAACACCACATAATCCACTATTTTGTATCTAGAAATAAAAAGTATATCACCAATGGAAAGGAGAAAGGTGATATCGACAAAAAAAGAAAAGAAACATGATGCATTAATGAATGATGAACTAAGCTGTATCAATGAAAATGTATTTGATTTAATGTTAACAAAGTGTGTTTTGCTGTGCTTTTTTATTAACTTTACACATTAACTTACCAATGGCAGCTTTGCCCCAGATCTGCACATTAAGGTCTGTTTTTCCTTTTGTGGATTTATTTAATATTTGAAGGCTAGTTTTATATCTGTGTTGTTGCTCATTTTTTTCATCTCCTTCCCAAGGATTCCATTCTTCACTTTCCAAAGCAGATTGTTCTATGTTTTAAAAAGAGTACAAGTGTTTATTAGTAAGGTAAAAGAAACAAAACAACACGAAAACCCAGTTGCTTTACATTAATTATGATTTGTGGCAATTCCATGAGTTACATAGTAGATGTGTTCCTTTCAGAAGCAGATCACCAGGCCTTTTTTATGTGGTGCCTCTGGGAAGGTTCAAACTACTTTTTACTATGTAGTCAAACACTTTATTATCTATATACCCCAGGGGCTTCAATGAAATGTTAAGGAGTTCTAATGCCTTTCTCACTTCAATTTTCCAAAGAGATTAAAGCAACAAAATTTGAATTGAATAAGAACGTACAATTTTTTAAAAAAAAGGAAATCAGGAGCAAGTCTTAGTGAACCTTTATTCTGAAAGATTTTAGCAATAAAAAAGTTAACAAAGGCAGGAAAATTATATTCTCCCAAACAAAACCATTTTAAAACACCTGGATACTGTGACGCTATGGGTTAATGCGCTGGACTGCAAGGTTGGTTTGAACAGCAACGTTGCAGCTCAAGCTCACCAGCTGCTCCTCAGAAACCCTATACAGGATCACGAGTCAGAACCAATTTACTGGCACTTAACAACATGTATCAAGTTACATGCTTAATTTGCAATACTTTTTATCTATTGCATATACGTTAAAACAAAACAAAACAACAACTAAGCCCCCAAAACACTTGCTATCAAGTCGATTGTGACTTAACGGCAACTGTTAAGAGTAGAGTTGTGCTCCACTGGATTTTCAAATGGCTGATTTTTCGTTAGTAGATTTCCAGGCCTTTCTGTAAGGTGCATCTGGGGTGGGCTTGGGCCTGGAACTTTCAGTTAACAGCCAAGCTCCTTAATTATTTGCACCACCTGGGGCTTCATTATAATTTCGTACCAAGGGATTCCAAAAGTTCGTGCAAAAGATGTTATCTTTTCCTCTTTTACGATTTTTTTGAAGCTATGTATGCAAAAAATTTTATTTCAGACTCCTAAGTGCCCACCAAGTTTTAGATTCTATTGTATAAAATTTAGAAAAACAAAACAAAACTGAGTTTGATCCTGATACAGGTCTAAAAGCAAAAGGGACCAGAACTTGGTGGAAAAGGCCTTGTGAAGTTAATGCATGCTTAAAGAAGACTCTTTGAACATGGAACTACATGCAGATGTCTCAACTCAGCAGGGATTTGCGGCCTCCTACAGCATCATCCCTCGGGCTGTGGAGCAGCAAAGGCAGCAGTTCGAAACTACCAGCTGTTTCGCGGGGCAAAGATGAGGCTTTCTGCTCGCGTAAAGATTTGCAGCCTCGGAAACCCTATAACAACAGTATCCCAGGAGTCCTGGTGTGGCGCTGTGGGTTAAGTTAATACGCCAGATTGCAAAGCCTTTTGAACTGCAAGGTCGGAAGTTCAAGCTCACCAGCTGCTCCTTGGAAACCCTATACAGGGTCGCTATGGGTCGGAATCGACTCGACGGCACCTAACAACAACAACAACAGCATCCCAGCTAATCTCTTTGGCATTGTCTTGGACACTCATAGTTTTTACACGCCGGCCTTAGGAGAGCAGAGAGGGGACGGCGGGTAAGATTCGGGTCTCCAACCCCAAGCTCAAGACTGGCTCCCGAGAGCCCAGAAAGCAGGGCCACCCCGGGGCCCAGGGACAACCCCGAGCCGAACACGCAGCTCAGCTCCGTCCCAGCCACCCGCCTCAGGCTCAGGCGCGTGACCGCACGCAGAAAGCCACCGCTCGGTCCTACCTCGGCCGCGCCTCTCCCGCGCAGGGGCCGCCCCCTTCCTGAGGCCCCGCGGGGACGCTGCCGGCGCCTGGCGGCGCCCGAAAAAGACGTGGTAAGCGGCGTAGAGGGAGAAGAGGCAGTACAGGGCGGTTAGAAAGGAGCAGAGCCGCTTTCGCGTCAGTCTCATCACACCCCGGCCTCCCGTCAGCCCACCGCCTCCATAGAGCAGGGCCGCGAAGAAGCCGCAGCCGATACCCTGGCCCTGGCGACGACCGGTGTAGGCCTACGCTTGGCGCAGGAAGTCCCCAAACCCAGGCCTAGTCTCCCGCAGCCGCTCCGGCGGGCTCCACGTCCCTTCGCCCCGCCCCCGATCCAGCGTGCTCCGCCCCGGCTCCTTCGCCCGCCTAAACCTCCGCCTTTCCCTGGCCGAGAGAGCCTGCCTACCTCCGGGTAGGGGTTTGTGGACTGGAAGATTGGCCCGTTTTCCGCGCTTTCGGAGCCTCTGGCGCTGTGGGTTAAAGTGCTGCACTGCAAAATCGGTTTGAACCTCCAGGTCGGCGGTTCAATCTCACCAGTCGCTCTTCGGAAACCCTCTACAACAGAGTCGCTAAGGGTCAGAACAGACTCGACGGCACTTAACAACAACTGAAGACATATTAAAATACGATGGACTGCCAGAAGAACAAACAAATCTGTGTTGGAAGAACAGCCAGAGTGCTCCTTAGAAGCCAGGATGGTGAGACTTTTGTCTTTCACACTGAGGACATATTATCAGGAGGGACCAGCCACTGGAGAAGGACATCATGCTTGGAGGGTCACTGAAAAAAGATGGAGACCCCCAACGAGATAGACTGGCACAGTGACAGTAGGAATGAATTCAAGCGTGTTGTTAAGTGCCGTCGAGTCGATTCCGACCTATAGCGACCCTGAACAGGGTATCCAAGACTATAAATCTTTACAGGAGCTTTAGAAAGCCTCATCTTTCTCCCGCGGAGCAGCTGGTAGTTTTGAACTGCTTATCTTGCGGTTCACAGCCCAATTTGTAACCACTGCGCTACCATAGCATAGCAAGTATCTTAAGGTTGACGCAGGATCCGACAGTGTTTCGTTCAGTTGTACATAGGGTTGCTGTGATTCGGAACCGACGTGACAGCCCCTAATAACAACTGTACCTGTGCAGTGTACCCTTGGCTCCTATCAACCCTGCCTTCCAAGATCTGCGCTCCCCCGCCCCAACAGGCTTAGTCAAATTATGAAACAAAACAACACACACACACACACACACGTGGTGGTCTGTGAGGGCTACGTGGGGATCGCGATCCTGTCATTTTTGTGTGTGTGTTAACAAATTCTGCTGCGTCAGTAAGTGAATGAATTGAGATGCCTCTTTAAAAGATCATGTTTTATTATTATGATGTGGCTTAGCTGCACATTTTTTTTGTGAAATAAAAACCAAACCTGTTGCTGTCAAGGCAATTCTGACTCAAGGGCAGGGACAGATTAAGGCATGTGAGGACCCTAAAACACTGATATCTGTGCTGCTCCTCTATTCACTCACACATTCAAAATGTGACATGGGTGAGCATATACTTATAAACCGGAAACCCTATACTGGGTTGCTATGGGTCGGAAAAGACTCGATGCGCTTAGCAACAACAACATACCTGTGTGTATGTTAGCTATTCACGATGCAACTTTTTAAAAAATGTGTCTGTAGAAATAATGGAGTCCTGGTGTGTCCCTATAAGATAAGCACTAGACCGGGAACTGCAAGGTCTTGGTTTCAAACCACCAGCAGCTCTTGGAAATCCTATACAGGACTGCTGTAAGTTGGACTGACTGGCATTTAACAGCAACAACGGTTACCAATCTAGTACTTAACCTTACAGCGACACACCAGAACTCCAATATCAGTGTTGTTAAAACCTGTAGTCAGTTCATAGCAATCCCTGATAAGTTTTGGCGTAGCAACAGGTAGGTTTGAACCACCAATCTTGTGGCTAGCTTATGGTTAGTGGTGGTGGCTGTGTGCTGTGGAGTCGGTTCCGACTCATAGCGACCCTACACAGGGTTTCCAAGGCTGTAAATCTCTA